CTGCTTATGCACAGGGAGACAGCTCAGGGGGCAGGAGAGTATGGAGGGATGGTCACTGGGAAGAGGTAACTATAGGGAGGAAGAGGGAGGGGAGCTGTTGCATTGTAAACTGTGGTCAATGACATGAGACAAAGTACATGTGAACTGCTGTATGGAAAGTGAATTTGCTCTGTAAATCTTCACCTAAATCACAATAAATAAATAAATAAACAAACAAACAAATAAATAAATAAAAGGACCAGACGTTTCTAGCCCAGAACAATGTGCAACTTATTCCTTTCTAGTTTGTCTTTTTAAAATGGAGAATACTAGTAGGAAAGCAAGTCTGTACCTCCCACAGTAATTTTTTTTTTAAATTGTGATTTGGGTGAAAATTTATAGAGCAAATTCACTTTCCATACAGCAGTTCACATACACTTTGTCTCCTGACATTGACTACAATTTTCCACAATGCAACAGCTCCCCTCCCACTTCCTCCCAACAGTTACCTCTTCCCAGTGTCCATCTCTCCATGCACTCCTGCCCCTTGAGCTGTTTCCCTGTGCATAAACAGCCCTTCTTTCTCCCATGATTGTTCTCTCTAAGGAATGTATCTACCTTGGGTAAATGTTCGACTAGTATGCCTGTCTTTTGTTTGGCTGGAAGCCACAGGTGTGGGTTCAATTCCAGACCTGACGGGCAGCTGGGGGCTAGTCTCAGTGGTTCTACCAGGCTCTATCAGACCAGCAAACCTGGTCCCTCCCCCACTTTTATTTTCCCAAATGATTTTGAATTTTGTTCCACATTGTTCTCCCTCTCTATCCAGGATCTCCTACATAGATCCCCCTCTGAGTGGTTGGCAGTGGTAGCCGGACACCATCTAGTTCTTCGGGTCTCATAGTCTTATAGGCTGAAGATCGCATGGTGTACCAGTTGCTGGGAGTAATTGTTTCCATGAATCTTTGGTTTTCTTCATTATTCTTTGCTCTGGGCGAGGAGAGACCCATTGTTGCATCTAGATGGCTGCTGGCAAGCTTTTAAGATCCCAGTTGCTACTCGCCAAAGTCCCACAGTACTTTTTTAATGCATATACCATCTCTTAAGATTTTTATGCATGAACAGCTACTTAGTACCATCTGCAAATTTATGACAACCATATGGGTACAGGCCCAAGATGACCACCTGTGTAGGGGCAGAGGCCATGAGGAAGTCAAGTCTGAAAGAACACAGGGCATCTTTATATACCCTGACAAGATAGGAGAATAGCCTAACTGATTAAAAGTCAAATAGGGATTTGGATCCCACAACAAATTGGTGATCTGTGAATAATCAGATAGTGAAATATCAGTAGCTGGTAGGGAGAAGGCAGTACAGTGCAATGGGAGAATGAACATAAGCCAGTCTGAGATTCAGTTCAGTTACTAGATGTATCTTACTTTGTCTCTGAGCCTCAGTTTACTCTTATAATCTTCCATATAATGGGGAATTGTTGGGGCTTAAATGAGATACATAAAGTGTGAAGGTACCATTAATACCATAGGTCTGGTTAGTCAGTCCTTGCATGTCTCCAAGGGAACTTGAAACATGATTGAATCATGGTTGGCAAACCCCTAGGAATGTTCTTTTTGCTAATGGTTGATGACTATGTTTTGTACACCTGGAGCAATGGGCCATATCAACTTGTCAGTATTACTTTGCACAAGCATCAAGGCTGATGGTGTGCACCTAGTTTCATTGTTAGGTTCCTGGTTTTCAGTTGTCATGGCTGGTCATGTAGTATGATGTGCCTATATGAGCAGCTCTCAATAAAAACCTCAGACCCAGAGATTCAAATGAGCTGTCATGAACAGTGACATTTCAGCAAACTTGAAGGTGGCCTTGGGATCCATGAGATGTAGAGGGACTAGTACACTCCCTGACAAATAGTACACATCAATACATGCCAGCTCTTGACATTTAAATTATGACTGCTACATGTTATATTGGATCACCTGGCAAATAGAATCCTGGATTTTGCCTGCTTTTCTCAGTCATGCCCTTGGAAGAAAGTGAGATTAACATCTTGTCACTGGGGAATTTAAAGAATATAACTCCAAGATTCTGCTCTTGGCTGTCTACCCTGCTAAGTCTGAGAGGGGAGGTACCATGTGGGTAAAACGAGGAGACCTTGAGAATGCACACCAGAGAGAACTCTTTCACCATTTCGAAGGGTAATGAAAAGCCTTGTTGAGAGTTATGAAGAAACACTTAAACTGATATTGTGGAACTCAGGTGTGCATGCTGCAGGCTAGACCAACACCCTGACTCTCACCAAAGGTCGTGGCCACGGGAAGCAGTGGTGTTAGGAGTAGTGGCTATCAAGAATTTCCTCAACTCATCCAGAATCAAGCACACAGAACCAAGCAGCAGGCACTCAGAAAAAGAGACTGTCTTGCAGTGTGAAGACTACATATAAACACTGAAAAATAAGGCTGGGACTTCAATTGGCTAAACTGAAGGAAGGAGGAGTCTAGGGTACCCATGATTACAATTCCTTTTTTAGGTTTGCGTGTGTTTCCATCCAAATGACCAGATCTAAGTAAGGTACGTGGAAAGAGTCTTATGTCTCTAAAATGCAATAAGGAGACAAGGATAATTATTTGCTATACCATGCATTTATTATTTTTCAAGTAAATTCCCTCCAAGATGGTTAGAGCTAATCTCAAAAGTAATTCTATGTGGATTTTCCTTCTCTTGGTGAATTTTTCCCTCTATGGGTGTCTTAAGAGATAGTGAGCCTAAAATAGTACGTTAGTATAAGTTTATGTCTTCATAGTTGGATTTGATTTTTATTGAGCCCTTAACTATTTTGAGTGGCTCTAGGGTGAGCTTCCTTTTGCTTTATGTTACAAATAATGGTTATCTCCCTATCGCTGTCATCATCATCATCACTTGCATCATAAAATATTGTGTTGCCCATGGAATCTTCCTTGTGAAAGGACTGGGATAAACACTTCACTTCACTTAAAAATGGTGGGGTTAGAGCAAAGTTGTTCTTTATCTCAGAACTTTCAGGAGAAGTTTTACAAACAAGGCATTTTTCCTTGTAGCATCGACAAGTCTTGGATGGTAGAGGCCGAGATAACGTGTCTGTCTTATTTATACTACCTGACCATTTTGGATTTGGATGTCTGGGTGGCTTGACCAGTTTGGGTAGACTGGATGGCTTGGGTGGGCAGGGTGGACAAGGTGGCCTGACTGGCTTTTCTGGGTAGGATAAACAGATTTGACTAACTTGCTTACGGGTATGGATTAGCTTGTATGGCTTTTGTAGGTGGGATGACCTGAATAATTGTTCTGGACTTGATGGCCTGGATGACTTTCTACTGGGTGGTCCGCATAACTTTCCTGAACTCGCTGGCCTGGGTAACTTCTCTGCACTGGATGGTATAGGTGACTTTTCTGGACTTGTTGGCCTGAGTAATTTTTGTACACTGGATGGTCTGGATGACTTTTTTTGACTCGATGGCTCAGATAACTTGTCTGTACAGGATAGCAGGGGTTGTTTTTCTGGGCTGCATGGACTGGCTGTTTTTGATTCACTGGGTGATAATCTGGACGGTTTGGCTGCTATCCCTTGTTTTCTGATTCTGAAAATATAGAAAATTTAGAGTATGCTAATTTGAAACAAAAGAATATTACTGCTAACATCAGAAACTGTAGGATACTGTGTCAGTTTAGAACTTTGGTGTCTTTTTGGCTCTATTAAGAAAACCGAACACAGTTAAGAATTGGAATTCACCAGAAGCAGTGTTACAGATATGTAGTCATGTTGCATAATTTTTTCTTTGTCTTAAGAGGATTTCACTGTTTTATCCGCCTTAGGTAACCACATAAACTACATAGGGGTTTACACAAAATTGTTCAGTATCCACTGCTTCAAGAGAGACAGGGAGAATGGGTATTTCATTTATTCTAGAAATTAAAATTTTATAAAAAATGTCACAAGCTTATAACTTGTCACCAAAAAAAAAAAAAAGCTCTTTAGAGCAAAGTCTTTGTTTTCCTATCATATTTATACCATCAGGTTATCTATCTCTCCATGTTTATTTTCACAATATTCCCCCAAAGCTAAAGGAATAGCAAGCACTGGTATGACATTTTAATGATCAGTCCTTGGCCTGGGAAATTCTTAGGGAACCAGTATATCATGGCCAGCCTGATCCTCCTATGGGAAAAGTTGGGACTGAGCTCATGAGAGCAACAACAGTGAACTGTTTTTCATGCTATTTCATCTTAAAATCATAGATTTTCCAAAATGTTTTATTGTCTTTGGGATGCAGAGACCCAATTCCTCCTCTGCCCTTCCTCTTCATGCTCTTCCATATTCTGACAAGCCTGCCTGCTTTTGCCTAGACTCACTTTATACTGAAATGAATAGTCTGGGGCTCAGCTGAACCCTGAATGGGAGACAGCTTTGGCTAAAGTTGACAATATAGTTGAGAATATTTGAGAACTGATACCATTCAAGTGAAGGTATTTACCCACCAGAAGTTGGCAGCTCTTTAAAAGCCTGAACTTCAAATTAAGTAACCACCATGACAGGGAAACCTCTAGTACGTATGTACGTGTACGCACACACACTTTGTATTCTTAATTTAAAGGTGTAAAACTTACATGTCTCCGTTGGTGGCATTGTCGCTCATACAGTTATGATGGAGAAAACACAAACAGGTAAAGACAAAGGACATGATCATAATACCAACAACAATAACGAGGAGACGTCTCCTAAAACTGTCCAGGTTTGTTTCCATTGACTGAAGCTGCTTTGCTCCTGTCAAAGAGATTGTATCCAGAAAATATATTAAGTAACCAAGTTGTCATCCATTTTGATAATGGTTCTCTACAGTAAGTCAAAATGAAGTCTCTTCATTATTGATTTTTTTTAAGCCAGTTTGGGTAGACTGGATGTCTTGGGTGGGCAGGGTGGACAAAGTGGCCTGACTCATTTTCTTCCCTCTATCCCATCTCCAGCCACAGTCTATCTAGAAGCCAGATCTGGGAGGCATTTCTGGCTAGCCAGTAGGATTATCTTGGTTCCCCTGTATCGTGGCTAGATTATCCCATTAACCTAGGTTTCTGAGTGTATGTGTATGTTGTGTGTGTTATGTGTGTGAATGTGTATGATGGGAAAGGGCATGGGCCAAAAACAAATCCTTGCTGAAAATCTGTGTGTTTGGTCTCAAGCCAGATTCATTCACATGGTATTATCTACTTTTGGGGGTTAGGTGGATTAGAAGGGGAGTGGAGGGAGACCATAAGTCTGTACTCTTTTATCCTCATATGTTACTTTGATTTCCACCCAAAACTGTTGTCTTAGAAATCCCTGAAGACCTACAAATGTTAACATCAGAGAAACAGCAGATTTCTTAAATACATTTTGACTCATTATTTGAAGGTAGATTATAATAGATTATAATTTATAAATTTTAAGGTTAAGCACATACCTTTAGTGGCAGATATAGTAGCAGATACAGTAGGAGATCTAGTAGAAGATCTAGTAGGTGATCTAGTAGAAGATACAGTAGAAGATACAGTAGAAGATACATTACTTTGGCTTCCATTGAAACAACTTCTTATCGAAATGGACAAAAGAAGAACGTAAATGAAAAGATTCATGTCCAGGGCTTTCTTCAAATGTTTCTCCTACCAAGGAAACTGCTGTATTATATATGGTTCAGTGTATTCTAAGGGTTTATGACATCATCATTTTCTGTCATATTCTGACAACAAAATATCACCATGGAGAAGCATAAACTTCCATGTACAAAGTTTACCAAATGACTTTTAATCACTTATTTCTCCTTCATATAAAATAATCTATTTAGTTCATACCAAAAATTTGAGACATTATTAAGCACAAAGGGATATATTTAGAAAAAGTAGGGGAAACTGGGATAGCTTTAGAAATTGAAGAACTATTTCTCCTTATTAAATGGTGAGAAAGCATTTTGCAGCCTTGTAGTAGTTCTTAAGTCTTATATTATAGGTGTTAAATCATCCTGGAACATAACTCTGTATGGGGTTTTCTGAATAAAATTAAGATGTTGAGTAGTTCCTGTACCTGTTTATTGAGCTGCTGTTAACTATCAGGCTGTATCTCAGTCCACTTAGTCATTTATTCAACATTTATAGAGTGCATCTATACACCACCATGTTTAATGCTTAATGCTGCAGATACAAACATGACCAATTTAAGTAGGGAATACAAATGATTAAAAAGCAGTGTGAAATGGACTATATTAAGATTAAGTGCAGCACATCAAAAGAGAAGAAAGAGCCAAAATCAACACTTTAAACGAACATCTCCAACAATTAGAGAAAGAACAGCAAGAAAAGCCCA